GTCGTATACTACTACGTTTACGTTTGTTCGTTATATATATATATATATATATATATATATATATATATTCATCTAAGTCACCATTTAAGAAAACAATTTTTACCTCCATTTGATTTATGACTAGTTGCTACAGGAGCATATGTGTCAAAATAATCACTGCCTTCTTTTTGTTAAAAACCTTTAACAACTAATCTTGCTTATATTTATTAATAAAACCATCATAATTCATTTTTCTTTTAAAAATCCATTTACAACCAATGAGTTTAGATTTAGGTGGAAGATATATTAATTTCCAAGTTTTATTAGCCATTATGGAATCAATTTCATTATTAATAGCTTCTCTCCAAAAAATTACATCTTGAGATGCCAAAGCTTCCTTTAGAGATGTAAGATCTTCCTCCACATTTGAGACTATAGGCAATGAATTTATTATTTAATTTTTATTAGCCTCAACAAGATAAATATAAAAATCAGGTCCAAAGTTAGAAGATAGTTCACATCTAATTCTCTTACTTCTTCTTAGTTCTATTATTTCACCACCATTATTTTCTACATGTTCTTCGTCAACATTATAATCATTTTCATGATTATTTTCATTTTGCATTGCTATTTGATTCATTCAGATCACTTTTACAAGTGAGATTTTCAAAAAATTCAGCATCTTTAGATTTTTAAATTGTGTTAGAATTTAGAACAAAAAATCTATAAGCTTTACTATTATGATAATATCCCACAAACACACATTTAGATGTTCTAAGACCTAAGTTATTTCTTTTAGAATCTGGAAGTCTAACATATGCAAGACAACCCTATACTTTGAAAATTTTCAAAGAATATTTTATATCAAACCAAAGCTCATCAGGGGCCTTTTCACTCTTTTTATATGGGATTATATTCAAAATAAAGCATGTAGATAATAAAGCTTCACCCCACAATTTCAATGACAAAGAAGAAAAAATAAGCATTGCATTCACCATTTCTACTAATGTTCTATTTTTTCTTTCTGCTAGTCCATTTTGTTGAGGGGTATATGGAGCAGTTATTTGATGAATAATGCCATTATTTTCATAAATTTCATTAAAGTTATTTGATAAATATTCTCCTCCTCTATCACTTCTACTAAGTTGATTTTCAACTTACGTTCTGAAAACTTTAAATTTTTCAAAAGTCTCATCTTTATGTCTAAGCAAGTAAACATATCAAAACCTAAAAAAAGTATCAATAAAGGTAATAAAAATTCTTTTACCACCTCTAGTGTGAACATTATTTAAATCACATGCATCACTATGTATAAGTCCTAACAATTTACTATTTCTTTCAATTGAAGGAAATGATTTTCTAGTAATTTTAGCTTGTACACATACTTCGCATTTTTCTCTAATTAATTCATCACAATTAGAAATTAATCTTAATGTAATCAAATATTTGATAGAAGCATAATTAACTTGTCTTAATCTACCATGTCATACATCACAAGAAGTAACAATATGTGCAGAAGACTTATTCATTTCATTAATAAGATCAAATTTGAATATCCCATCACATGAGTACCCCTTGGCAACAAATGCATTTTTTTTTGTCAGGATGAATTTGTCAGACCCAATGACCATTTTAAAGCCCTTCTTGTTTAAGATACATCCTGAAATAAGGTTTATTCTTATGTACAGTACGTAGTAAACATTTTCTAAGGTGAGTACCTTGCCTGAACTAAACTTAGTTCCAATATTCCCCTTTTCAAGCATATTTGTCATAGATTGGGTTCCAAGTTGAACTGAATTACCGTCACCTACTAGTTCAAAAGTCTTAAACATGTATCGATTATTAGACACATGAATGGTAGTACCGGTATCGATCTACCATCCATTGTCTTTATCTATCATGTTTACTTTAATAACCATTGCTACAAATTTTTTTCCAGTGGTCAAGTTTACTTAGTCTCTAGGCCTTTTGAATCCTTTCCGGTGTCGACACTCTCTTAAATAGTATTCTGATTTTCCAAATACATAACATGTGGCTTTCTTTTTATTATTGTTGCCAATAGACTTTTGGTCCTTATAATTTTCATTATGAACCTTAGGAAATAAATACTTCTTGTTATATGGAGCACTTAATTTTTGCTCAATAAGGTTTGCCTTAAAGTGAAAATGAATTGACTCATTGTTCTTTTCTCTAAGTCTACTCTTTTCTTAAATTCAAAGAGATCTTTGAAGTTGAACCAAATCAAGATTACTTTCTTGTATTTCATCTTCTTTTGGTACTCTCTCCAAGATAGGGGTAGCTTATGAATTATACCTTTGGAATTCAATAGTCAATCAAGTTCAGTAGAATATTTAAGAAAGCGTTAGAAGAGAAAAGCTGCATCAGTAGATGAATGGTCCACTCTCAGTTAGCTCAGCCTGCACCCCCTTAGATTAAGAGAATAGTGAATTACCAAGAAGTCTACTTTTTTTTTTTGAAGCCAAATTCCTTCATTCAACAATCAACCTACACTCGATTTAAGACCCGGCTGAACAACTATATAACATATTCAAATTCTAATTAGAATCTTACGCCGCGAAGCGGCACCAAGCTACTCCGCCAGCTTCGCAGTACTATTAACTACGAAGCTGATTGGTTGCAAATACAATACTATAAACTATAAGTAGAAAAAACAACACACTAATGGAGCAACAAAATTTTGTAAAGTCATTAATTAAATCTATACCGAAATGGATACAGAAATGTTCATTATGTAAGAAGGAAATTGTGTTTTTTATATACCCACAATTTGTTCTTCCTTTCTCATATTTCTTAAGGGATCATGTGAATACGCAGTGCAAGCAACTCATGGATATCACTGCAGTTGATTATCCAACATGTGAAGAAAGGTTTTCAATGGTATATAACCTTTTAAGTGTTTCATTTAATTCTAGAATTCGTATCAAAACAAGTATTGATGAAATTACCCCCATTTCTTCTGTAACACAAGTTTTTTCGTGCACAGCTTGGTGGAAAAGGGAGGTGTGGGATATGTTTGGTGTATTTTTCTCTGATCATCTTGATTTGAGACTTATTTTAACGGATTATGGCTTTAAGGGTCAACCTTTACGAAAAGATTTTCCCCTTAGTGGTTATGTGGAAGTACGATATGATGACTCAGAAAAGCGGGTAATTACGGAAGCGGTTGAATTAGCCCAAGAGTTCAAATTTTTTTCTTTTGCAAGTCCTTGAGAGCAAGTAGAAAAAAGTTAACACTTTAATATAATATGAATATAATATGTAAAATCTCTCAAAAAATTGTTGTGAGCGATGCGGGGCTACATGTACCAACGTATTATCGTTGGTATACCTGGTAGCAGCGGCTTACATTGCAGCAAGGTCGCGCCACCTATGAAGCCGACAAACGCCGTTCATGCTGCTTGCAGCCCCCAAAAACTCTAATGCCTTAATGATGTCGTGGTCCTTTTGGCCAGCGTAGCTGGCGCCGAAGCTAAGCTGCTAACTGCGTACACGGTAGCTACTTACAGTTGGCTTCGCTGCTTTGTTGTTGCTCCTTCGGCCAACAACAACCTCTTGCAGATCAGCAAAGCTGAAAGCCCGCAAGCGGGCAACAACTATAGCCTACGATAAGAGCTATGCCAACAAGCATAGCGTTACGTCAGCCGATTAACAGATGGGGGGATGCTTGCCTACCGCATATGCCCTTGCTCGCACACAGTAGGCAAGCACAGCGGAAAAAGGGGATCGAACCCTCAACCTTTGCCTTGGCAGGGCAATGCTCTGCCATTGAGCTACTTCCGCATTCACAACACGCATTTGTGTACTAAAAGGCTTGTGTGTTTTTTACTTAAACTAGTGGCTTTACTGTAGCTAAGGCAGCCAACGCTAGTCTCAACAAAAAGATAGGCAAGGTTAGTGTGGCTATTGCTTTAAAAACAAGTTGCTAAGATGCTTTGTGCTAGCCTATCGCGTGCTACCTGCAGTTCAGGTTGGACAACTGCGAACCCCGATCTGAAAGTAGCAAAGAGATGTAAAAAAAGTATTGTGCTTGCGCCATGCATATAATTTTCTGTATTTGGCACCCAACTTGTGCAAAAAATCTAATAGTGCTAGCTTATTACATGAAAAAGCGAGGTAATAAGCTAGCACTATGTGTTTTAGCTGTTGCGCCAAAAGCAATAGCTTACAAGATTTTCGTAATTTTTGTTAGCATGATGTACTAGGCAAGTTCAACTCATCGTCCCTTGTGCTGCCAACCTATGCTTGGCCAAGCCGTAGACAAGAGCTGTTGCGCCAAAAGGTATATTGTGCTTGCACCAAGGGCTTGTGTACTAGTGAATATCTTATGGGGTTGGCCAGCGTAGCTGGCCGATACGACGACTCTAGCTAGTAAGGTGCTTGTATACCGAAGCTAGTAAGGTGCTTGTAAATAATTATGTATTTATTAATTATTAAGCGAGAGCTTTGCTCGCCAGACTATAGCTGAGTACTCTTGTGCTTGTGTAGCGCTTATAGCGTCGTGGTACCCGCTAAGCAAGCCAACCTATAGAAGCAACCGTATTGGTAGTCCGCTACCGAGTACGAGGTTAGCTGGTATCCGCTTTAACGGGAGTTAATAGCGGTACCGTGCTGCGGAGGCTAGGCTCACAATGCAGAGCGACGGTGTAACAGGTATCGCTCGTTTGCCAACTAACTTAGCAGATAAGCATGCTTCACAAGGTACTTTTCTTATTTTTGGCAGCACAAGTCTCTCACGAAGGTAAGTCTGCTTGGCCAGTAGCAAGGGCACTAGTTATAGGTTGGCGCAAGCGAAGCGTGGAGCTTGCCAAAAGGGGAGGTGAAGTGCTAGCGGAGGCCTAGTTGTACAACAATCTTAATCCTTCTTGACAAACGTTGTTCTCATTGGTAGTTTTTTATTAGCAATTCTAGCTGCTTGTCTTGCTAAGGTGCAACTAACTCCATTGATCTCGTATAAGATTTGTCCATTCTTGAAGTTACAAGCCCAATATTCGAAGCTACCTTTCCCATTTCCCATACGCACCTCTAAAGGTTTTTTAGTCACACTTAGATCAGGATATACACAGATCCAGACTTAACCGCTTCGCTTTAACTTGCGGGTTATGGCGAGTCGTACCCCTTCGATAGTGCTTGATCTCAATCGACCATTTGCCAAAGATCTGATAGCATACTTGCCAAATGAATCTTTGAATTCTTTGATTCTGTGGCTTTTGTTCTACCTTTTTGCTGTTTTCTGAATTTAGTGCGTCGAGGAGCATACATGGTGAGTTGTCTTTCTATTTCGGTGTTAGTAGCAGCCAACCGTAGCTTGCTAGTCACTAACACAGAAGCTGTTGGCCTCCGTTAGAGGCCTCCGCTAGCGCTGCTTGCAGTACCCTTATAGCTTATTGCGTATGGCCCGCGTACGAGGTAGGCAATCGCTTTAGTGTCGGGTGAGTCGCGACGGCCAACCTGCAGAGCAGGTAACCCGAAGCCAATCTACGGTAAAGCGTGTATGCGCTTTGCGGCGGGGTCGTAGGCCTGCCAACCTACGCTTGGCCAAGCCGTTACCAAGCTTCGGTAGCACCTTCAGTTTGTTCCTGCGTGTTTTTGTTTTTTGTTTATTAAAAGCGTATTATTTTGTTGTTTTTTCTAATTACGTGCATTCTTATGCGTATGCTGCCCACGACACGGTAATCCTTCGATGTGCCAAAAGCCTCTCAAGCAAAAAATCGAGCAAAGACGTGTTTTATTTCTTTTTATAAGAGTACGCATATCGTTCTTAACTAAAGAACGTTGATGTACAATCGGGTTCAATAGATTGATCTGAGAATTAGAAAGATTCTCTAGCTTGACATCCTTACTTATACCTAACTGATCGCAAGCTTGGGTAGCCATTCTATTACCTATTCCTGCGACTTTTGATAATGTGATACTAACTGGGATATTACCGTTAAAGTGGTTATTAAATAAATACATTATTTTGTGTTTTATCTATTTGTAGATGGTCGCCCTTTGTAGCCTACGCAAATTGGTCAGCAAAGCCATCAATTTGCGTAGGCTGCAAGCACAGGGACAAGATAGTGAATATCTAAAATGCTTGCACCTGCTTCGTAGGTTAGCACGCGGCTACTAGCTTCCGCAAAAAATGGCTAGGTACCAGCGTACGTCATTATACAAGGGCCAACCATAGGTAGCTATCGCTGTAGCGAATAGCGGCCTCCGCTAGCGCTGCTTGCCGTAGGCTGTAGCCGTAGACAAACACCTTTTGTTTAACTAAAATAAAAAGCGTTTGCTCAGCTCAAAAAGCTCAATTTCAATTTCTTCATACGCTATCTACGAAGCGGGTTGTCTTGTACGCGGTTGCGGGACAAACTGCTTTGTTGATGAACGTCGCCTCCGCTACCGCTAGCGGTTAGCTGCCTCCGCTAGCGGCCGCCTGGGGGCGAATGCCAGCTACGCTGGCTAACCAATCGCTTGGTGCAACTTGCCAACCTGCTTCACAGGTAAAGCAGCGATACCAACGATACTAGCTATGCTGGTAAGGCCAACCGTAAGTAACTACTGCTTTCGCGGTTAGCGGTAAGCGCGCTTCACCGAACTCGGTTAGGCTACTTTACTACGTTTTGCAGCTGCTGTAATGCCCTATCTTCTCAAATAATGTTTTTTTTGCGCGGCCAACAAAAGGGCGCAGCCGCTATACAACAAATCTAATAATAACACTGCTTACTTGGTGGAATTGGTAGACACAATAGACTCAAAATCTGTACCCAATATGGGTTTGGGTTATCAGTTCAAGTCTGATAGTGAGCAAATAAAATTTATCGTTGTAGATTACATCATAATCGATTTTAAAAAATGTAATACCTTTTACCTACGGCTCTTGTGCTAGCTTGGCTACATTCCCAGCACAATTTGCAAGCACAAAAAGCATAGGCGTATTTAGACGAAATGTTATCTAATTGATGTATATTGTTGTATAAGAGGCAAAAAGAGTTCCGGAAGTTGTTGTTTTTGGGCCTTCGGCCAAGAATAAGATTGTAAATTTTGCTCACTCTGAAGTCCCAATGCAGCACTTTCTACGGTGCCTTTATGCAACTGGTGTGAACTTTGTCCACACAGCTCCTAGTTAGATAAATCGTCCATTGTTTTGTTGGTGCAGCAGCTCTTGCAACAAACGTTGCCAAATGGGTCCCCAATCTGCGGCTGCAAGAGCTGCTGCTCCAAGTTTTGTGGCCATATCTGGTTTTTGCCAGCTACGCTAGCCAACGCCTCTATATGGTGGTAGTTCACTTTAATTTGATTGCTTCTCCAATCTGGGGTTGCAAGAGCGGTTGCGCCAAGTTTTTGGCAGCGCAAGCGGAGCTTGTGCTTGCAGATTGCAGCACTTTGGCCACCTATCCAAAAGGCTTAAGAAAGTCATTCTAGTGTAATATTCACCCAAATGGGTTGGCCAGCTACGCTGGCAAATATACATAGATATAGAAAATAAGCTGCTAGAAATAGAAATAATAGTGTATATACAAAAGAAAGGTTGCAAAGCGTTGCCAGCTACGCTGGCCCTTCATATGCTCATAGTTCTCTGAACTGTTTGCGAAAAACGTTTTTTTTAACCAACGGGCAAGCGAAGCCAACCTACGACGCAGGTTGCCCAGTCCTCCCACGCTTATTGGCATGCGAGTATATTGTTTATGTTGGCTAGCTACGTTTAAGCTGCTGCGCCAAAAGGGTTTTGGCCTCTTTGGCCCTTTTGGCCTCTTTGGCCAGCAAAGCTAGCAACCGTTGGCACCAATGGCGTAAAGATTTCTAGCAAAAAGAATGCATAAAAGAATTCATATAAGGATGTAACAGTCCCAAAAATACAGGAAAAGATAACAAGTAAGGTGAAAGGCTGCTTATTTAGCCACGCAAATTTGCCTACGAGCTTTTTGTTGCGCAAGCCGCAACATTAGCATTTAAGGGGGAAAAGCGCCCTTCCTTTAGTAGGGAAAAGCTTGCTATTTCTTTTTTTTTGGTGAACTACCTTAGCCTTGTGGCGTAAGCGACTTCCGTTGCTTCACCCAAAGCCTGTTTGAAGAAATAGAAGCGATGCCTTTTGGCAACGCTTGTTGCAAGCAGCAAGTAGAAAAGAGACATAGTGGCAACCAAAAAGAAAAGGGAGTTTCTTAATAAGAAATAATTAAATAACATAAGAAATGAGCTCTTTGTAGCTAAGAAAAAGATCCTTTTGGCGCAGCAGCTGCTAGCTACGCTGGCCAACATTTGTAGTTATTAGTTACAGATGTTATTAAGGGAGGGTGCGCTCGCAGCTAACTTATGGTTGTAGCTAGTAAATTGGCTTGAGCTACTACCGCAATCGCGTCGCACTCTGCGAGGCTGGCCAACGGCTCGATTGGCGTAGCACGTAAGTAACGCGCTTGCAGTAGCGCTTGCACAAACGGCGCAAGCGAGGATGTGATACTGCACATCGTAGTAATAAACATATTTATGTTAAATAAGTAAATAGTAATAGCTGAAATTGGGTGGGGGTAC